ACCTTTTTGACCCCTTACAACCCTAGCAATGGAGTTCCTTCTAGTGCTTCTCAAATTAGGGCAAGACTCTCTAGTTATGCATTCTTGCTCAACCCATTCTTCTATGATAACTCCAGATTTATTTTTTCCCTCATTTGGTGACTCCATTGTTAGATTATTATTCAGTTCTTCAATTTTCATTACTGTTAGATGATGACAATACACTTCCATCACCTTGAAACTATATGCCCAATCACAGAAGGCCCTGACACGAGTATCAGTGGACAATTCTCTCAATCTAGTCCTCATATCTACAATTGGTTCAAGGTAATAGTACAAAATGTCTACATTAGGATAACCAACTTTCTCAACCATTTTATTCAACTCATGGATTGACTTACGCTCAGTATCACATGTATCTACGTAGTCCACTTCTCTATTCTTATAACTTACACATTTTCTCCAATTTATTCTTCCCTCGTGGTGTAACCTTGTGCTAAATATTTCAGATTCTGGAGTTGCATACCAATATGTGGGTTTTTTGTTTCAATATAAGTTCAGCTTACAAGAATTGCAGATAAATATGCTATTCAACGTTAAACTATAATTAATTATTTTTCAATTTCTGCTTCACATGTTTTTTAAAACAAATAACCCTAATCTAATACCGAATTCCAAGTTAAACACTAAATAAGTTCCAAATTTTAATCAAATGATGAAAGATTATTTATAAAACCCCAAACTTTTTGAACAACCAAATGAGAAAATTAAGTCCCCACCCCCACCCCCACCAAACCTCACATCTAGGACCACCACCACCTCATCTTGAGTACCCTCACCACCAAAATATCAAACCGTACAACAACTTGCCCGTATATATCACTTGTGGCTAATTCCTTCGATTATTACCCAAAAAAAATCGAAAGAATATTGTTTTGACATCGGTACGGTATGAAACTATGCCTGCTAGGACTAAACCCAGCAAGAAAGAAATTTTTTTTTTTTTAAATGCTAGGCTGCCGGGCTGAGAATTTTTTTTTTTTTTAATGCTGCCTGGTAGCCAAGCTGGAAATTTTTTTAAAAAGTATGATGGCCTTAATGAAACAAAAGCCATATCAACCTCTAAGAATTAGCAAAACAAAAGCTCTCTAACTGAAATATACGTATCAAATTTAGTTAAAAGAAGGACAAACATTCTGGTAAAGAAAACATGCGGAACCTTAACAGAAACTAGAACTTCCCACTTCATATGTACGCATGAGCAATTTCCAAAGCTATCTTAGATTTCTCTACCCCTTCTAGTAGAACTCCTGATGTAGACCAATATTTTGAAAATCGGACCGGACCGTCCGGTTTAGCCGGTTGAACTGCGAATCGGCCATGCCTCCGGTCCGGTTCAATTAAAACCCAAAAAATTAATTGAACCGGTCAAAATCGATCAAGAACCGGTTGAGCTGGTAAAAACTAAGAGGTTTAACCGTTTTTTATTAAGTATTTATTTTCTAAAATAAATATTTTAGTTTTATTCAAAATTTTTAATACTAAAATGAATAAAAAATTATTAAACCTTTGAACAGGGGTCAAATCGATTGAACCGGTCGAACCGTGAATCGGAAGGTTTTTCGATTCACTCTCCGGTCCGGATTTAAAAACATTGATGTGGACATGATATGGCTTCGACAAATTCACTAGCAGCAAATGGGAAAGACATCATTATTTATTAAGCTCGCTTTAACGCTACTGCCAATATAACCATGATAGCCAAGCCCATTAATGAAGGCCCAAGAGCCTTATCCACAAAGCCACTGAACACATTTCTATTAGTATCTGCTACTCCTTTATCGTCAGAATAGCCCCAAACAGTGCCTGAAAGAAATCAGACAAACTGTTCATCATATCAACGATTGTAAGCTTAAACTCTTGCCAGAACTCCATAAAGCCTCCTGTGGAGTTGGATTCTCCGTACTCAGACTCTGCTCGACTGGATGATACGCTCCTTGGAGATCTTGGGGAAAGTGATATCTCCTTGGAGATCTTGGGGAAAGAATATCACTATCAGTAGTAGAACCCTTTTCATATTGATCCATAGTTGAGAAAAGAGCACCTGCCAACAAGAATGAAGTTAAGAATTTTTCCTCAAACTACCAAATAACAGAGTAGAAGCAAAAGAGCCACATACTAATCTTACCAATCTTCTGTGACTAGAGATAATCCTGAAGTGTCAGATTTAGCAGTACAGCATTCCTAACATTCTGATCTGATGCAATTGGTAATTTACTCTAAAAATAGTCAAAGGCCATCATATTTAAAAAAAAAAAAGATTTCCAGCTTGGCTGTTGGGCGGCAGCCCAGCATTAAAAAAAAAAATTCAGCCCGGCAGCCTATCATTTTTGTAAAAAAAAAATTTTTTCTTGCCGGGTTTAGTAGTTTCATACCATGCTCATGTCAAAACAATATTCTTCCGATTTTTTATTTTTTGGGCAATAATCGAAGGAATTAGCCCAGATATTTCTACCTATCCCACTACTGAGTAAGATAGCTCTTTCATAGTTAAAGTTTCCAAAGCTATATACCATAAGCGAGAACCGGATTGAAGGATTTATTTTGTGGCCTGATTTGCCACTCCATTGCTGCTTCAATGTCAATGATACCCAACTATTCTGAAGCCCGAGAGTACTGATCGTCTCTTGTTCTTCTTCCTCAATAAAGATCCTCAAGGGAAGATGAAGAGCGGTGAGAAAGAGGGGTTAGTTTAGCTAGGTTACGGAAGGGAAAGATGATGTACTTCGTTCGATTTTTGCTTGTTTTTGTACGAACAAAAAAGTCTTTCTACAAAAAAAATCCTTTTACAAAGCATATTACCGTTCACATGATTTGTTTTTTCCAATTGCAAAACCGGATAAACTAGTTAAAAGGCCCATGGGTTCCCTATTTTACAAGTTGAAGGGCTAAAAGTTAACTATTAATAGTTGAAGGGTTAAATTTTACTTAAACTAAAAGTTCAAGAGCCAATCGGATAATTTGCTCTTAAAATTATTCCTTCTCAAATTATGAACATCAATAAATGGAGCTAAGTTTCGAATGTGGTAAGATATCTCTCATATGCATATCATGAGAATTTGAATATTTCAACAGCAAAATTTGTTGTTAAAATTACATGGTATTCTTTTTTTCTCATTCTAATTATTTTATGATTTTATTGTAGACGTGATTTTATTTTAAATTCTAGAATAGATTTCAAGGACATGTAATTTTCCTAAATCCTTTAATTCTATTTTTAAGGACATTCCCCCGCAACAAAAAATCGGACCTTCTTTTCAAGTACTGTTGTTACTAATTGTTATTTTGAGGTCATTAATGTCCTTTTTGCCAACGTCAAATCACTAGCTAAAGAGGGGAAGTGCAGTAAAAATAAAATGTTAAGAGGGAAGGTGCACATACTACCAAACCTTAGGGAGCTTAGTGCTTTTAATCCTATATCTTTAGAGGTTAGGATTTACATGCATATTTTAATACTTGATTAAAAAAATCCAAGATCGGTCAACTGATGGTTTGACCGTCCACCGAAATAAAATCCTAGAGAATCATTAGGGCATTTCTCTTTTGTTACCTCCACCAATCCACATCCGATTTTTTTGACTTTCTGCCTATACACCAACCAAAAAAAAAAGGCTGTTGACTTATTTTTCAAAAGCATTTCAATAGTATCAGAGACACTGTAACGCCGAAAGTTGTAAGACATATATAAATTCTTTTAATTGTTATTTATATCATTTGAAATTTTAAATATTCGTAAAAGCGTCTAAAAGTTAAGGGTTAACACAAGAATAAGAAAATAGACTAGTAATAAATTAAAAAAAAAACTAATGGTTAAGAGTAGTTTGTAACTTTCAAAATCATAGCGTCTATAATATTTCTATTCTTTTATTTTTTTTAAAGATTCACATGAAGACTTCAAAATTGAGAACTTAAAAAGTAATAAAAAATTTCACTATCACTTACGCAATATCCGTACTTGGATTTTGGCAACTATTACATTCTTTCTTCCTTCCTCGAAAATCAAAATCCGGACCCATCCAAAGGAGCAGAGCCCAGAACACTAGCTTCAGGTTGGTCCAGTCGAGTTACTCCCACCTAGTTCCTATTTAAGTTCCCAGTGAGGTCCAATTATCAGCCGCATATAACGAATTGAGTTATCCAAAAGTCTAAAAACCTTCTTTTTTTTTTTTTTGGTTTCGAAAAACAATTGATTTTTATTCCTTGAGTAAACAGCAATTCAGGTTTCCTATTTGCAATTTTATACTTTTATAGTCTTTCCAACACACATATATAATGGATTAATATATCATTCCTAAACAGATGAATCATTTTTCACAAGACTTGTGTCTTTTTTTTTTTTTTTATAAGTGAAATGTTTTGAATTCAAAATTTCCTACTCATCCAACCCTCCGCCTCGTAAACTAGGCTACTTTATCTTTTTGCTACATCGATAGCACAAAAATTTACTCAAATCTAACTTAATGGGGCATGTTACTTGAAGTATCTGATCCCTTAATCGATTTTTTTTTTTTTTTAAATTAGGACATTGATACACGCTCACAAAGTTATATTACAGACCTAACAGAAATTAGTCTGAACTCTTCAACAGGAAAAAGTCTCCACCAGTTACTTTACGCTGGCACCCAAGAACTTGCTTTGCATGCCATTAGTTAATTCCTCACTATAAGAAAAAGAGGCACAACAACACTCCATAGTGAAAATCCCAGCCATTCCCTGGGTAAGTATTTTGGAAAAAATAAAAAAATAAAAGAAAATCACAAACTGTAGTCAAATTTTTTTTTTTTTTAAAAAAAAAAGACCAAAAAGGTCCAACTTAGTATGATTGATGTTTCAATTACCACTGGATAAGGTCATATTAGAATAGTCCCCTTGGCGTATGCTGCACAGAATGTGGCTAATTTCTGCCATAGCTGTTGTTTTTTGGGTAGTATATACACAACGTAATAATTCAAAGGAAATGAAACTCATGTCAATCAGGAGGAGAGATATAACTCGGATTGATGTGAAACTATCTCAAAATTTAGAAGAGAATTGTTTGTTATTGCACGTGTGATATTATGTACAGCCTTGCTTTGAGATGTACTCTATTTGGGGTGCAGTTCAACAAAACTAGTTTCAGTGAAGGAACCCTTTGCACAACTGCGACTTGCAGTACTGGATACATCACTGAGCTTCTGATTCTGTGATCAACTATACTCTGAATACAAAGAGAGGCCTGTTTGAAGCCTCTGTAGAACTTGAAGGCATGGCAGTCTTTTATTTCAGAGAGGCCGCAACAAGGGGTAATCTTGAAGCAACTCTCGCTCTGATAATGCGTCATCTTCATTTTGGGGAGTCCATAAGACCTCAACGGCCTGCATGGAGAGCATTATCAAAAGGACATCGCATGCAAGAAAATCCAGGGCCTAAATTTGAAAACTTAAATGTTCTTACCAAAGTTTTACTTGAAGGAATTGAGGCAAGCTTTTGTAATGCTTCCTTCAAGTCTGAACTACTATTGATGGTAGGCAGCTTATGCACGCCATCAGCAGCCACCAATATTGTTACCTAAATAGTAGGAATCAAATCCAATCATCTAATCTTCCAATTGCCTAGGGCATTTCAAATAAACAATTCAAAGAAACTGCAAGTCACCCTTACCACAATGTACTCATTACTAAAGCCGCTTGCTCTCTGGCCTGTTGAACTTCGCTTTTTTATGTTGTTTACATTGACAAGGGTCTCCTCGTCGAACTTTCCACGTTCTTCAATGGAAAGCTTATTGAATCGTTTTTCCCCTTCATCCATGCTCCTCTTAACGTCAGCCTGCATTACGTGCACCAGGTACAAAGGTAAGAGCCCAACAACTTCAGATTCATTAAATTATATAATATATATCAGGTGTTTGATCAGATAAGAAAATCATCAGTAATTGAAGACAGTTTGCATGAGACAAATTTTTGGACAAAAACAAAGATAAGGTCTGAGCGTGAAATGTTAAGTGCTCAACAATCAGAAAAAATACAGTTATAAAAAATAAAAAATAAACTGAGCCCAGCATTAAGGATCTGCTCATGGAGGCATGTTAAGATATGGGAAATTGTCATGCCCATGCCCACTTAGCCCACAGTTGTGTCATGGTAATTATAAGCAGAGACACAATTTAAATAGGTATTTGACATTCTTGTTGCAATGAGCATCCCAAATTGAGTACGCATTGCAACTACAACTCGTATTACAACACTATTTCAACTTATCCTTTTATCTCATATGGAACAGCTTAAATCTCACAATCTTTACATACTTGATACCCTTCAGCAGCCTATCATAGACCCAACTGTGACTCATGAAACTGATCAGGTACCATTGTATCACACCTTAAACAATAACCAAGTTGATGAAGAATATATGGATCTCAAGCTAATGAAAGCATAGCCTCTCACTTATAACCAAAACCAAGCAATCCAATAATATTAATTATCCCCTGTTAAAGACTCAATATCCTCACAGTAGCGCATAAGAGGCTGTGGCAATACCACATGGGCCAGCTCGCATCGTACATAGTTGGAAGAAAGGGTGTTCTCATGTAACTCTCACATAAATTTTCAGTTGAAGTACTCTTTCTGCATGTCAGGAGTAATTCTGCAATCTTTAGCAGAATTTAAAAATTCATTTGCCAAAGAGACAGGAAGGAAGTTAAATCTAGTGGAGAATCACCCTTAAGTCGCTTCAAACCACCAAGATAAGTACCTGAGCACTAGAGATTAGGAGGAAGATATCCATAGGTCACAGGACTTGGCTGTAATAGTCAAATTGGTCCATAATGACCTAGAAAGCCTCACAAGTTTGATTTTTAGAATGTCGCCTTACTTGCAATGGTAAGGCTGCAGAAATTTGCCATCTCTAATCCCACATCACAGCAACATCATGCAGTTTGAGAGGGAGAGATCCTTTCCAAAAGTCAGATATTAATCTTCATTTGAGGTGATTCATAGGTATTGATAGGCTATAGAAACAAGTGAAAGAAAACAAAATAAACCTAAAGGTCAAGTTCCAAAGCCAACAGAGTGGAATGCAGCAAAATTATCCATGACAAGTAGCTCAATGCTCTGGGCTTCCGCTTCTTTGTCTTTTACCAATAATAAGTACTTCAGTGTGCATTCATGGCCATCTAGTGAAAGTTACAAATATTAATATTAACACAACCATGATGCATGACTCCCCTAGATCATCAAAATGCAATCCAGCCAAAGGCTGTATTGAGGTCAAAGGTCCAAATTCAGAGTGCATTAAATGGAAATCTGATGTGGATATCCAAATCACAAGGTAGCCAACAGGAAGCAATGATGTAATCAACTTACAGATGAATAAGCCGAGATACAATAATCAGGATGCCGCAGCAAAGCTAGTGTAGTCTCTGCAACAAAAGCAGTAACTAATAAGTGCTTATTTAAGGCATAAAATAACTTAAAAGATATAAATAACAGAGAGAGAGAGAGTTAAATTAAGCACCTGCACTACACATATTAATGAAGAGTTTGACTGGTACACACTAGTCCAACTGATTTCACATGATAGCCTTCAATTTTACCAGTTAAAGTAACATTTCTTTGCATGAAGACTTCTCTAATCCACCTACTATTGTTTTCACTTGGAAAATAAGTCAAACACAGAAACGCAAATCTAAACATCTGTTATTTCTCTTCCTCTCACCCAAAATTCTTGGTATTTTTAATATCAAAGACCAAACTTCATAAATTTCACCCAACAAGATGACATTTCCATTATAAGACTTCAGAAAAACAGTTTTACAAGTATGGATCTCCAAAAAAAAAAGACACAATTTTAACAAGCAAAACCACTATCTACAGGATAGAGCAGAGATAACGTAAACATTAGAAGTTTAAAAACTTAGAAGGCATTTACGGCTTTTAGTTTATGCAAGAGTATTTTACGAGTGAAGCTTCATACGGTCCGCAGGTCAGTAAACAAGGGTACTCACAACCAACATAGATAATCACTTCTCACCATCTAAAGGATACATCAGATGCAACAAGAATCTTACTTGGAAAATGATTTACTTGTACTTCATTCTGTATTTACCTTAAATGTTTTTGCCAATTTTTTAAAGGTACCTTAGTTATACTATCATCCAAAACTTGAAGACCTATTCGCCACAAAGGCTCACAAATGTAATCTGTATTCAGTGCATTTTCTTGCTCTGCTGGAAAAACCATAAAAAGATAACATGGTTGGGAGCCTTACCAGTCAACACATAGCTTAAACCCTCTGGGCTGGATGTATCTGCAGTTTCAGCAATTCGGTCAAGATCTCTTTGGAGAGTTCTCCCCAAACCCAACAAGCCAACCTAAGGAAAATAAAATAAGAGACTATATAATGAGCTGCAAGAAATCACAACAAAGATAAGGAAAATGAATTTGTGAAAAGCCAAATAGCAGTAAAGCTTGCAGCCTAGCAACAGTATCATGAAATTGCAGTCGTTATAATGCCATAATAGTTCAAAAAGTTGCACCTCCTCTCTTTCGTGTTTTGAACATAGTTGCATAACAAGATGATCAAGATTCAAAAAAGCCTAGTAAATGTTGCACCTAAAAAGAACTTTAGTCTATCTCAAAACTTAACAAGAAAGCCTTGTTAAAAGTTATCATCTTCTGATTGCAGCTGCAACAAATGAAAGTTAGAAGCATCCACTTAAGCAACTTCTACGACTATCAATTCTCGTCCACGATTGGTCTTCTTAGCTCAGCATGTCCTCTTAATCTCTTCTTTTCCTCTTGGCTAGGAGATTATTTGGGATAATTTTTTTAAAAAATACTGTAGCACTTTTTTGATGTGATGTAGATGAGATAAAAAGGTGATTGGAAAATATGTTAATGGTGCAAGCAAGTCAGTGTGTAAATAAGGTGCAATCCAAACACACTTAGTTGCCTGTGTCCCTTTAGCTAATTCTTTTTTTATTACATTTTTTTAGCTAAGAAAGGGGTCTACAGAGCGACATCCTGCAAAACTGCAACTTGGCACATGGAAAACTAGTCACGCTTTCTTTTGTGTTCGAGAGAGAGAAAGATAGAGAGGTGGGGGCTGGCATGACCTTTTGAGATGATTTATCAAAACCAGCTGCAAAATATTAGAGATATACCGTGGAGAACCGTTGATAAGAAGATAGAAGTTTAATAGAAGCATGAGTAGCAATATAATGGAAGGAAACATCAGACCGAAGTGGAGGTAAACCCCACGGGCTTATCATTATGTCCTTTCGTTGCACCATAAGACATCCTGATTACAGTTGATAACGAGCAAAACAAGATTAGTAGAAGCAGATGATCAATCTGGCATGGGTAAAGATTGACAAACAAAGTGTCTAAATCTTCTAAAAGTTAAAAATACACTTTAAGTTCCTAATTAAGACATTTTAAAGCTCAAAATTTCAAAGTTCAGCATCTCAAGTCCAATCTAGTCAAGTGAAAAACCAATTGATAACTTTTTAAAGAACAAGGAGTGAATTTCTTTAATTAAGTCCTACATGATGGCAAGCATGGCAGTGACTCAAACACATACCTCTGTGTAAGCACTTAAGTAAACAATATTTTAGGCATAGTTGAACGTGATGAGATTTATAGACTTTAGTGACCTCAAGGCAACTATGTTTCATGCAATCAGAATGGCAAGATTTGCTCCAATTTAATTAAATGCTGTGAACTAAGTAGTCCAAGGCCACAACATTGACATCAGTGCTAACCCCTGTTAGTTACATGCTTCAACCATCATTTAAAATGTCAAACCTAGAGGTAGCCCTGCATTTTACCTTTTAGATTTCCTTTCAGCTATTTGAGGCATCTAATGTTAAAGCATATACTTACTCAGTTGCAAACTTCCAAATAGTATCTAAGATATACTTTTCCAAACCGGAATTTGCTTTCCACCTTCAACATTCCCCCAAACCTCTTCTTCATTCCCACCCCTCCAACTCATAAAATTTTCACCATAACCCATCTAAACCAATTCAAGTAAAGAATTGTCTGCCAGTCACTACTACCAACTATAACCTATACCTAAGTGTATCCAAACTAACAGAAGAAATAACGAATTACAGCCAAGTAAATTACCATACTTGCAGCTTGAGAACACTAGTCTTCCCAGTAGCAGTAAGCACACCACCTTCCGACCTGTCCGACAAGAACCCTGAGACCAATACAAACGCTGCAAATCCCACCATAATCAAGAAAAAACTCGAACCAAAACCAACTGCAGGTCCTACATAGACACCACCACCACCAAATCCAAATGGTGAGGGAGCATAATACGGCGCAGAATATGAAAAACTCGAGCCACCGGACATCCTAGGCACAGAATAACTCCTTGATGATGACGATGAAAACGACCTGGACGAAGAAAATGATTTGCCCCCCACTCTCCCACCTGAGGCAGCCAATGCTGAATTGGGGTCATACATTAACAACAATCCTACAAGAACTGCAGCCACTGCCGGCTTTTGCAGAGCTTTAAAGGCTTTTAAGATAAATTTAGCAAATTTATCAACAGGGTTCTCTTGTATTTCCACTGATGACTCTGTTTTCTTGAAGAAACCAAAATTGCCAGCATCGCCATCAACATTGGATGCAGAATTATTGGAGTAGACACATTTGGGACTGCAAATTCTAGAGCGTTTATGGCTATTAAGCTTGAATGCTGGCGAAATTTTGGGGGAATTAAACAACGGTTTAAAGGGATTTTGAGAGGGCAACAAAGGGTTCCATTTGAGGTTGGATTCAAGCAAGAAAGGGGTTGGTTTTGGTGCGGTAATTGTGGCCATAAAAGATGAACTCAAGAAGTTTTATTCAGAATAATTGAGTTGAACTGGAATTTAATCGAATAAGGGTTTAGGAGAAAATCAAAGATATGTTTTTGGAAAGAGAGAGATGAGAGGGAAGGGAGGCAGAAGAGCTTGAATGGAAACCAGCAGCAGGAAATCTGCGAGTGGGCCCAATGTTGGGGGCGTCCACGAACGAACTGTGGCCGATCATCGAACGTGTGGGGACTTTGAGCAAAAACCTAATCTTAAAATCCGCAGGGGTCGCCTGCTTTTTTTGAGGTTAATCTGGGATTTGGTTTAAATCATTCAACAAAAAGTCATTATTGGAGTTGAAAAAATCCTCAGGGTCAGGGCTACTGTTATTATATATATATATATATATATATATATATATATATATATATATTGATCTAAAATTACTTTGCCCCTTAAAGTTTATTTTTGAACATTTTACCTTCCTTCCGTCAGTTCAAAGTTATTTTTGATCGTTACAAATTATTAATATTTCAAAATTATCCGTATTTTTACCTGTCAGAACTTTTAAACAAAATTATTCTTGTCATAATAATTTTCAAAATTACTCGTATTTCTATCGGTTAGAATTTTTAAACAAAATTATTCTTGTCATAATAATTCTCTTGTTCGGAGAAATAAAGACTCTACTTTCTCTTCTTTAACCCAAAAAAAAAAAAAATCCAACTCCTATATGTAGGTTGTTATGTCTTTTGTCTTTTTGACAAATTAGTGGCTAAATACTAGAAAAAAAAAGTCCCACATTTTGGTTTAGCTAAAAATTTGGTACTTTTTATCTAGATCATGGTTACTTTGTTAAATTTTGCCCATTTGAGAAAACAAAACTATTTAATTTAATTTTATTTTTGTCGTCGTTTTGGAAGTGAAAGTGATCTAGTTTTGTTGGTTGTGCTAGGTTCAAGGCACCAAGGACAAGAATTAGGTTTTGGTTGGCTATTTTAAAAAAAAAAAAAAAAAACTTTGAACTTTGAATCAAAAGGAGCCGTTTTTATTAAAGGCACATTTGTCTGTTTCAACACCTGTAATGTGTATTTATTTTGCTTGTTGGTAAAGATGATTTCATGTTGGGTAATAATTTTAGAAAAATATTAAACTGGCAAATAATTTTTGAGAAAGTGTTATTTTGGAAATTAACTCTGACGTGAGGTTTCTTATGCAAAGAGTAAAGACTTGACTAAATTAGAGTAGAATAGAAACACTTAAGAGGATTTAAAGTTAGTTTCATTCAAGCGTTCTTTTTTTTTATTTTTTTTCCATCCCACCCCTTTCTGTATTCCTTCTATTGGAAATAGCCAACTGTTAGGCTCTGAATTGGAATCCTGAACCTGATAACAGGGAGGACACCAAAAACTTTTTCATGGCCACTTTGTATAAGAGTTGTTAAATGTGAAATTGTTTCACTTGGTAATTAATGTCGCTCACACAAGCAACAAAATGAAAGTTACTTTAAAGTTTCTTTTAGAGAGCGTGATTTGACAGTTTATATATATATATATATACACACACACACACATATTATAATATTGTTGGGAGGGTTTGTTTGGATTGTGAATTATTTGAGATATTTTTACTGTAGCACTTTTTATGATGTGATGCATGTGAGATAAAAAGGTAATTGGGAAGATAAAAAGGTGCGTTGGAAATTGTAATGATGATGTAAGCAGATATAATTTGGCAAATAATTCACAATCCAAACAAAGTCAAGTTGAAGGATAGTACATGAATAATTTCTGATCTTCAAACTAACCACCTTGGTATTGACAGTTACTAAAAAGTTCGGTAGGGCTGAGGCGTATAAAATGCTCTCTTTAAGACGATACGGGCCCTTATGGTACTTTTCAAACTGATGCAGAAGGTCTAGCGTGCCGCCTCCAGGATACAACAGTCCAACTTTATAGTTGTTGCTTCCCTTTGATCTGCACAACCAAGAGAAGTAGAAGCTTTCCAATATCTTTTTTTGCCCAAAGAAAACAGTATGAGGGAGAAAAAAATGAGTGTGAGGAGAATAGTATTTTGAAATGATCTTTTGTTGAGAGAAGTGTGTGTAAATTCTCCAAAGAACTTCACTATTTATAGGCTACAAAACCTTAAGAAAAAGGGTTGAAAGTCCAATGTATAACGGTTTTTTCATATTAAATTGTAGTTAATTGGTAGAATTTGTAACCTAACAATTAATTCACATTTGAATGGGTCATAAAAACTCAATTTGACCAAATAATTCTTTTGTAACTCTTATTCAAATAATCATGCAATAACTCCATTCAAAATGCAATGTAACTCCCACAATTATAATTCCCATAACTCCCAAATAAATTATATTGTAACTCCTTGTAAAGATTTGGCCAAACTAATTAAGATTTTATTAAAATACACCAACATATATATATATATATATATATATATATATATATATATATATATATATAGTAATTTTACAGACAGCATATGTAGTTTTGACTGCTCTATCGCAGACACTTCAGTTTTCTGCCCTTCCCATAACCCTCAAAAAAGGAACATAAACTGCTAACAATATCCCTGCATGATGCACTTGGTTATTGTCGTTTTACTGTTTTATGATGTACATGTTAATTCCGTGTGCAGGGAAGAAAGATAGTTGACACATTAGTCATTCTTCGTCTTTAGTCAGCCGGTGACTTGAGACTTGGGCAGTCACTACTACGGACAAGATAGCAGGTGTTAGTGCACTATTGTTGCGAATGTACAAAATCTTGTATGAACTGTGAGAAAATTCTATGCCAAGTTACTGAGGTTATTGAAAATGTACGAACTTGGTTGAAATGTACAAATAGTGAAGGAAAATCCGGATCCTTGATGACCATGAAAGGCTAAGGTATCTAGATTCTATCTGTTGAATTTTTGGCGGACTTCATTTTGCCAAGTTGCAAGACGCCAGCTAGCTGATTTACCCCATCACCTAAGTTCCTGTATTTCAAAATTGAAAGCCAGGACACTGTGTCACTGATCATAAAGGTCTCAAAAAGAGGTACTTTTCAAGCAATTCCTGATCTGATAACACATCATCTTCTTTCTGGGGATTGCATGACACCTCAAACTGCCAGCATGGAGAGCATTTATGAAATGACACGGAGAAGGGTCAGGTAATGATAGAGGCTAGCTTAGGAAAACTCCTCCATTTTCTTCCCAGAGTTTTACTTGAAGGAATAGAGCCAAGCTTGTTCAAGGCTTTTTGCAAGTCGGATTTAGTGATTTACCATTGATGGTGCGCAGTTGATGTTCACCATCAGCAGCCACCAATATTGTAACCTATACATATAGGTAATCGAAAGATGATCATTCACTCCCAAACATGGTTCACCGTCACAGGTCACGGTCGCATTGCGGTCATGATTGTTCTACATTTGTCGCGTCGTATCGATTAGATATTGGGTGATATGCACGTTATAGTATATAAAAATTTTCAAAATATCTGAAAATATTACTAAAAATATAAAATATCATAAAAGACACAATTATCAAATTAAAGTTACTAAACACCTACATTATCATATATGGTTACTAATTATTTAAATAAAATAATGCTGCCATTATCATAAACCTATAGCATTAGCAATAAATGATTTTAGTATCATGTGTGCCTTCTAATCGTATTTTATATGAGATCAAAAATTAAATATAAGACTCTACTGATATTATACAAATATATTAAATATACAATTATCAATTTAATCAAATTAATCATATACCTAATAATATATAAAAATGCCAAAATGCATTACATAAATTTACAAATATCTAAATATCACATTTGAATACTAAACCCAAAAAAATTAAAACTAAGAAACTAATTTGAAAGAAAATGCGAACCTTTTGGCCTCATGTTTGAGCTTAAAATTAGGAGTGCAATCTCCTAATTACTTGGGTCAAACTTGGACTTTAGAAGCTTTTAATTTTTCCTTCTTTTTTTCCTGTCTTGGGCTCTACTAGAAAAGCCTAACTAGTCTAATTTTAGCTTCGTTCTTATCACTCCAAATTTAGTCGTTCATTTCATTCTCTTTCCTCCCTTTCGTTCTTTCTTCTCATTTCTGCTCTTGAAGATGTTCATAGAAGGCAAAAACAATTCTTACTCCAATTTCAGACTACCTCCTACTCAATCACTTCCAACTCCAGCTATAATTTCAGCAATAACTTCTCTATTCTTTCCTATTTTCGATGTAGCAAACTCACTTGGAGAATCATGGGTTTAATCAAGACAACCCGGTGCGCTGCTTGATGCTTTGATTGATGACAAATCAGTGATGAAATTGTCGGTACATTTCTCTGCTACTTGATTCTCTACTATACTCTACTTTCTACACCTTATCTTACCCTACCCCTTCCCCTTTCCCCTGTCTTTGTGGCTGAAAAATAAAATAATAAAGCATGAGGGGAAGGACGTTTGATAACTTTGAGCCTTTTGTTAGTGCTAGGGTTGTAAACGAGTTAAGTCAATTCGAGCTTTGGTTCAATCGAATCAAGTCCCGACTTAGTTTTATCAAACTCAAACTCGAGTTTGAACTCGATGAGCTCTTAATGTAACAGCTGGAGCTCGAGCTCGAGCTTAAAAAAATAAAAAATAATTATTTTATTTTTTAAAATAAAAATAAAATAATTATTTTTCTTAACAAATAATAAAATATTAGGAATATATATGTAATTTTACTATTAAAATAAAAATAATCTATATATACATATATATATATACACACACACACATATATATAATCGAGTTAGCTTGCGAGCTAACGAGCTAAGTATCTTTGAGATTGAGTTCGACTTGGTCAGCTCGAGTTTGACTCGAAATCAATATTGACTGAGCTCAAGTCGAGCTTTGACTTGATCTGCTCGTAAGCGGTTCGATTCGTTTACAACCCTAATTGGTGCTAATTATGAAGGTTTTGAATTCATATGGCAATAATTGAGTTGGATGCAAAAACTTTTTTGTTGTTTTCATTCACTTTTTGGATCACTTTCACTAATCTTTTTGTTCATGTTTTGTTTGGTTTCAATTATTAGGTGTTCAATTTTTTGGTAAAAGTTAAAAAAAGGAGGTGAAACAATAGAGATGTGATAGAAAGCAATTGTCGTTGTAAAGCGTTAAGTAGCTCCAATTTGTTGCATGTACAATGGTGGGCTAATAACTTTCTGTTTCT